GTGATTTGAAGTTGTTGTTGTAGGTTTGATTGTTGTTTTAACATCCATGATGAATGATAATGATTTTGATTCATGGTCATCGAATGTACATTATTATTGTTATATTGATCAGGAGAAATATTATTGTTGTTTTCGTTATAGCTGTTATCATCAGCTAAACCTATTATATCTTGTAATTGGGGATCAAGTTGAGGATCATAAACCATAACCTCATCTTGATCGTCTATATCTAATCCTTCATCTGATAACGCGGTGCGTATCTCGTCTCTAACAGCTTCAATCTCTCGTTTATACTTGTCAGCATTATCAAAATCTTCCACTACAACCGCCTCATGTTTTAAAACATCAAGTTTAGCAACTTCCTCGACGCCGCGTTTCATCAGCTCAACCGAATACTTTAACACTTTTGCCAAAGGGAAATCTTCCACTTTCACGGCATTTTTTTTTGCATTATCAAATGCCAATAATAGTCGTGCTGTCTCGTTTTGATTTTGTAGAAAGTCGTTTGCCGTAAGATAGTCTTTTAACTTTCTTTTTACGGTGGAAATTTCTGGTTGTTCTTTGCTTTCATTTGTTGTTGATACAGTCGATAGTGTTGATATTGAAGTATCGGTTGTTGATATTGATTGATCAGAACATGATGATGAAGAGGAGGAGGATGATGATGAGGAGGAATCTTTTAATAATGAGATTGAAGTATTTATAATATTATCGATGACAAGACTTGAAGTTGATGGATTTAAAGATTCACGAATGTCGTTATTATTACCTTGTAACAGAGAATATAATGAACCAAAATTTCTTTGATCGTGTGGTTGATGACAGCGTTCTTGAATAATCGGTACAATACAAACTTCAGGTGATGCAACTCTTGATAATCCATCATCAGCATTCTATTAAATTAGGTGGGAGAGGGGAATAATAATAAAATTAAATAAAATTATCAAATTGTCACATGATTTATGTTTATGCGATTTTTGCCACCACTAACCTCTATTGGGATTTTTGTACTTTCGCCTACAAGCAAGTAATTAGCTGGTTCACCCATAACCGTTATACCGACAATACCAACTTGATTATATTGATTCAAATGATTTGTATAGCATTTACGAGCCACCAATCTAATATATTCACCATCAACGTCAAGTCTAACCGATTTAAATTCTCTGGCTTTGTAATTTGCTCTCTCGTTACTGTCTAATGCACAATAACCTAATCTCTTGAAATGAATATACGGTTCACCATTCATTTTAATTAGATCGTAATTAGTATCGTTGTGATTGGTGGCGGTGGCGATGACAAAGTCATCATCTTGTACATCCTCGCCACTCTCATCGTCCGAGCACATTCCATCATTTTCTATTATTTTTGGCATTTTATCCCACGATATTGTACGTTTTACATCAGCAGGATTATCATTGTTATTGATATTATTTGTCATACCCCCCACTACTTCTTTACGTCTTTGTACTGTGCCAACATAAATCTCTAATTTTGAGGCAATTTTATAATGATGTGAAAGAATTTGAAGTTTACGGATTCTTGCAGGGCCACACGTTACCTGTAGTATTATTTCTTGGGGATATGAACAAAATCTTTATTATTTTTGGGGGGCAAAAAATAATTAGTCGGATATTATAATTGATCAAATTTGTATAAAATAAAAAATAAATAAAAATTCAAATTTTTCTTAATAATTACTTTTCAGATTGCCATCCTCTTCCATGTTTTATGCCAATTTCAGTATTGTTATTATTGTTATTATTGTTGTTATTGTTGTTGTCATTATTATCGGTACTTTTATTATTAGTTGTTATTATATTTTTACTTTTAGGTAAAAGTTGTTGTGGAGGATAATTTTCATCCCAACCGGTAGCGTGTACAATAGAATATTCTAAATTTTGTGCCATTGTAGGTGGTGATAAAAGGCTACGATTGCAATAATTACAATAATTGTTATTATAAGTTGATGATGATTTCAAACCGTTGTTAATAATATTTGTAGCGATAGTGTTAGTGTTTATGGGGGTGTTAATGTTAGCGATGGGGGTAATGGTAGTGGAATCGACTTGATTATCTTGTTCTATTTTTACTTCTTTAGTTAAGTCTAATGTATTAATACTATCGTTATCTCCTTCGTTGTTATTATTAAAGAAAAGATCAGCTTGATTTTCTAAAGATTTAATTATACTATCAGGTCCGTGATCTAATAACAAGTTTTCAGGTGATAAAGGAGAAGAAGGTGGATGATTATTGTAGGAATTTGGTGATAATAAGATAGTTTCAGTTTCAAAAGTTGCAATATTAGATTCTTCTTCTTCTTCTTCTTCTGATGATGAAATTGGAATTAAAGAAGTAGAAATTTCAAGTTTTGATTTTTTTTGTAATGACTCTGTAGAAGATGATTGCTTTTCTTGTGATGATGATAATAATAATTGATCTTCTTTATTTTCTTGTTGTTGTTGTTGTTGTTGATTTTCTTGATCAACTAGTAAATTTTCTATATTTGTGACAGTTGTTGGCGATGAATTGTCGTTATCTTTTGATGAAATTAAATCACTACTGTTGACATCAATTTTTTCGATTTTAGTTTCAGATTTAGATTTGGATGCAGATTTGGATGCAGATTTTGGTTCAGGTTTGGTTTTGATTTTATTGATTTTGTTGATGATTTTGTTTTTGTTGATGGATTTTTTTTCAGACATTGTGTTTTTTTTTTTTTTTAATAAAAAAAGTAAAAGTGTGATTTTTAGAGAGAGAGAGGAGCGAGCGAGAGAGAAGAGAGAACCAGAAATAGAAGAAACAGATAGACAGAAATAGAAGAGAAAAAAGTTAAAAAAAGAAAATTATTTTTTTCTTTTTTACAATTGATTTAATTGCTATATTTATATTTTTGAGATTTTTATTAATTACTCTGCCGTATAATAATAATAGTGATAATAATAATAATAACAATAAATCCCAACGATGATATAATAGAAATGGGATAAATAGAAATTGTGCCTTTACATTTCCTGATTTGGTTGAAACTGTCATAATAAAAATAAATAAATTGATGGTCCGACACAACTCTGATATTTAATTAATTAACTTTAAAAATAAATAAATATGCTTGCTTGTAATGAAATTTTGCGGAGAGTTTAAAACTATAATAATTCCCATATACACACTATTCCCAATATAATAAGCTAGAGGGTATTTTTTATTTTGATTTGTTTGTTTAAAATAATTTTTTTTGAAATAAATCCAGTCTGGGAATTGTTTATGTTACACAATAAAATCACATTTTCTATTTTAACAGACAATTTAAAATGTATATATATTACATATCATATATATATTATGTATTATATTATTATATGTATGCATGTGCCTTATTAAATTAATATCGTTCGGCAAAATGTCATGTTTTGATGTGTTTGTTGTATAAATGAATGAATGAATGAATGCGCAAAATACTATAGGATGAATGAGAATGAATGTTGTTTTGTTGTTGTTGTTGTTATCGTCGTTATTTTTTAGGTATTCGATGATGGAAGAAGGGATGAATTGGCACATTTATGGGTTATTGAATTATAACAAGATTTGGGGGAAAAAAGTCAATCAAAAAAAATGACATATTGTTTATATATTCAACTTGATTTAATTGGTCAAGAAGTTTTCCTATAATATACATATGTATGATACATATGTATATACTGTACTTATTAAATTCATTTTTTTTAGTAAATAACGATTATTATAGTAACAATTCCAATTTCAGTCCCAATTCTTCCGACTTAAAAATTGCGATTGTTCTCATGTTGCTAATTAATTACCTTTTCATCTTTTTCATCTTCCTTTTCTCCTTCATCATCATCATTCATCATCACCATTATCATCATCCCCTCCTCGTCCCCTCCTCCTCACCTCTCATCCCTTCTTCACCTTCTTCGCTTCCCCTTCCTTTGTTCCTTCCCCTCTCATGAATGAATCTGAAATCAGTAGTATTAATCTTTTTTTTTTCCAGAGCTCTAGTGATAAATGTGCATAATATTTATAAATACGTGATAATATTTACATTAAATAAATAAATAAATAATAATAATAACAAAATTGTTTGGCGTTATTTAGAATAAATAAATGTAAATAAAACTTGAAAAAAATTAATATATTTTAATGGTTATCGCTGTTGTTATTTGACAAATAATAATAATAAACATAAAATGTCAAAATTATAACATTCATTCATTCATTCATTCATTGTAATTTTGATGTTAGTGTATAATTGGTTAAGCAGATCCTCTCACTTTCCAATTTAATCTTTATAAACTACTTTAATCTGTCTATAATCAATTTCTAATACATCATACATACATCTTTCTTTAAATATCGAGTTTTTTCTGTTATTAAATTTATTAAGGAATGGTTTATTATTTATGTGTAAAAAAATTCAAGATTTAAATCAAGTTGTTTTGTTATTTTATGTATGGATTTGTGTATTTATTATTATATTATATGTAATTTATGTAATGTATTGATGATTATTGACTTTATGGAGAAAATATCCAGTATATTAATCGACTAATTAATTAAGGTATAGATTACGATCAAATTTATGCAATAGTTTTAACCATTTTTTTTTTTATTAAATTGATTTAAACAAAAGCCACGTTGGTTTTACAAGCCGTAAGGGCCCATCATTGGATTTTTTTATTTTTTAGGAGTTAAAAAATTACAAGTTGTTGTCTGTCTGTATTATTTTTAGAAATCTGGCTTAAAAATGATTGGAAGGAAAGAAGGAAAGAACAAGGGACGGAATGAGGGAAGAAGAAGGGTTTCTCGGTAATAAATTGAAAAGAAAAAAAAACTTAATAATAATTTTAAAAACTTAAATATATTTTTTTTAAAGTTATTACTTACTATTCTTCTTGGAACAGGAAATTGTTACACGTATTTTATTATATTGTTCTTCTTTAATCTTGTTTATTTTGCAAATTATCTTACTTTTTTTGTATATGAATTGTTGTTTTGGCTATTGTTCTTTGTTTTCCGAGCGCAAATATTTTATTTGATTTATCCGTGTAACTTCTACAACCACTTATTTGATATCTGATATACACCCACGCACATACATGCAATGTCCATCACAAAACTTTAATTTTATCTTTTTTAAAAAAAAAAATTTATTCTTCTTTACTCTGATGTCGTCATTGCTTTGACCATCCGTTTCTAAAATTTATTATTTTACGCGATATTTGATTTGTATAACGCATCCTGATATCGTATTAATTATATATATTAATAAATATATTCACAGAATTTATTTAATTATAAATAAAAAATTTAATATGTACTTTATTATTATTACTTGAACTGATAATAATAATCAAAAAAAAATAATAATAGTAATAGTAGTAATAATAATAATAACAATAATAATAATAAAAGAATAAATAGTAATAATGACAATAACAATAATAATAATACTACTAATACTACTACAATAATCAAATCATTGCTTTTCTTCTTTTTCATTTCTTACTTTCAACTTTTCTTTCAGTTTTTTTCACACTCATCTTCCATCCACCTTTTCCTCCTCTTGCATTCCCACAATCTTCTCCTTTCTTGTCTCCTTTCTTATCAGCTTCCTTTTTATCATCCAATTTCTTCTTTTCTTCTTTCTTTTCATTCTTCTTTTCATTCCTCTTGTCATTTTTCTTCTCATTCTTCTTTACAACATCTTTCTTAACATCCTTCTTTTTCTTTTCCTCCGTATTCTTTTTATTATTATTCTCATTTTTACTATTTGCTTTTTTATCGTTATCTTTCTTTTCATTATTACCATTTTTGTCATCATCTTTATCACCATCATTAGTCATCACCACCTTCTCTTCTCCTTCTCCTTTCTTGTCGTCATTAACTGCCGCATTTCCCTCCGCCATTCTCATCATCGCTTCATCCTTTTCATCAATGATCTTTTGAAGCTTCTTGTTGGTTTCTTCTTTATCTTCTAAGCTCGTCGTTAATCCCTCAACGATGTATTTTTGCTTTGATATAAGCTCTTCTTGTTCCGCTACTTTAACATTCGCCAATTCTAATTCGCCGCGATAACGAGCACGGTCACGATCCAACTCTTCGCGTTCAATGTTCAATAAATTACATTGTTCTCGATATTGAGTACGATCACGATCCAGTTCTTCATGTTCGACATTCAACAAGCTATATTGTCTTCTCACATCTGTCAACTCCTCTTCCAATTCGTTAACACGTAACTCTTCGCATGCTAATCTGTGCTCCATTTGACAAATATCAACTAATAATGAACATTTATCATTGTCCAATTTATTTCTTTCTGCTCTTAATTGCTCCACGTCATTGGCAAACTTGTTATTTTCCTCAGAAAGTTTTTCATTCTCGTCAAAAAGTTTGTTGTTTTCACCGCGAACCTGTTCTATCCCTTTTACGAGTTTATTATTTTCTCCACGAAGTTTTTCATTTTCATTGATTATTTTATTATGATTTTTACATAATTGTTCGAGTTCGATGAGTAATTGAGTTTTTGTCATGTTTTTTTTAACATTATTGCTATAAGTGTTAATGGAAGATGACGATGACGATGATGTGGTCGAAGCAATGGATGGTGTTGGAGATGTTGAAATAGAATTGGGTAAAGATGGTGATGGTAACGGTGATGGTAATGATGATGTGATATTGTTGTTGGATGACCTAATTGTTTGATTTATTGGTTTAAAAAAAATTTTAGATGATTCCTTACCACCATTAATTGTTCTAATGTTACTATTACTGTTAGTGACCGGAGTCGGGTAATTAAGCGAATTATTTTTTTTTGATGATTTAACCGATGTGCCTGAAGATGATGGTAGTAAAGAATTTATCATTGTGATTTTCTTTTTATCTTTCTCGTCACCATCATCTTCTTCATTAATGCTGTTATTGTTATTTTCAATCACTTCTTCGTTGATATTTTTATTATCATTGTTCTTTTTCAAAAATGAGGAGAAATGTTGATGATGGAGAGATGATAATGATGATACGGAAGAGGAAGAATAAGAACGCGGTTTTGTAATAAATTTCTTGCCGTTGCTGTTGTTGTTGTTGTTGTTGTTGTTAGTAGGTGCAATGATTTTAGATATGGCGTTACTGTTATTAGTAGCAGTAGCATTATTATTATTGTTATTGTTATTATTATTATTATTCGAGATCAAAGTGGAAGAAGTGGAAGTGGATATGGAAGTAGTCGAAGAATATGATATAAGATTAGATTTGTTTTTTGTTTTTGGTTGCTGTAATTTTGGAATCATCGCATTTCTTTGTATTGGTCGTTGTTGTTGTTGCTGTTGTTGTTTTCCGTTTGCGTTATCATCATTATCATCATCATCATCATCATTATCATTGGCCTGACAATTTAAATCATTACTATTAATAACTTTACCGCTATCGTTTTCATTGTCTTTTGTGACATTATTATTACTGGTTTTGTTGTTGTTGTTGTTGTTGTTGTTGTTTGTAACGTTAAAGTTAAGTCGTGAAGAAGGTAGACGTGATAAAGTGGTGGTTGTTGTGGTTGTTGTAGTTGTAGTTGTGGCAACTGTCATAATAAGAAAATTTTATTTATTTATTATTTTTTTTAAGTAAAAAAAAAATTTAATGTATTATTTTATATATATATATATATATACATATATAAGAGTGAAAAAAAAAGCGAGGGAAATAAAGGAAAATTGAAAAAATTAAATGTTTGAGGTTTGTTTAATTGATTGGATCAATTGATCCACCATCCTTTTGTTTTTTTTTTATAAATCATGGCTTAAACTATGTCGTGTAACTTTTTTAAATAATTTGCTAGGGTCTTTTGATATGTGGTGAACGATTTTATACAGTTATTTGTTCGCTGGATTCGGTTCATACGATCAGAATTTTTATTTTAAATTTAAGAAATTTAATTTTTTCTCTTTTTGTGCATGTGTTTGTTTGCTCTGTATATATATATATAATACAACTTTAATTTCATTTTGAATTTTTTTCTTGCACCAATCAATCCTTTTTTTTAAATTCACAAACAACATATGTGACCAATTATTATAACGTGTATTTATTCAGTGTAACTTTATTAATAAAATTTACCATCGTATCGTATTTATTCATTAATGCTGAATGATATTTATAATATTTGGTATTTATTTGAAAATCGCGCGCAAAGGATTCTCTCCCATTTCATTCAATATTTATTATGTCTAAAGAATAAAGTAACCAACCAACCAAGAATCTTCAAGCTCTTCTTTTGCACCTTTACACATTCACTCACTCATCCATCCATCAATTAGTGTATGTACATTTCATACAACTTACAAGGTTTGATTAAATATTTTCCAAATTGGTTTACAACTCGTGGGAAATTTGAGTTGAATGATAAAAATAACGTTCTCGTAAAAACTAATTTTCATCATTCATAATTAATTTAGTTTAAAAAAAAAACCCCCCAAAAATTTTGTAATTTATCCATTGATTCCATGATTTTGTTTTTTATTATCGTAATTGGTTTAATCTGTCTTAACGTTTGATGCTAAAATTAGCATGTACCTAAAACCTATCTACGCCAAATAATAATTGGAATAGTTGGTTTGCTCCTTTAACAACTAAATTTAGTTACTTCTACCGTCTACCACTCCTTCCCAACCATAATAATTATATTTGTCGTCACCTGTCTTTAAAATATATAATTTTTTTTTTTTTTATAAATAGTTTGCTATAAATATCCCTGCTGTTCCAAATATGAAAAAAAAAAAAGTTTTTTTTTGTTTGGATTCAACGCATCCTTCAATACCAATTCACTGACAAATTATCATAATAAAATAATCATGATGTTTTTCGCTGCGCTCTTGGTAAATTGATTGTTATTGATAAGTTAATAAATTATCTATGTATCGCATATTTGCAAATTGGTCAACCATATATCGACCATTAATAATATAATTTTAAGCGGTTATCAATCATCTCGGAAACACCCTCCATAAACCCTCCAAGTTTTTTCATGCTCGCTACCCAAATATTCATTCACCAAAACATCATTGTATATGTATATATATATATTATATATACAACTTTTTATGCAGCACAGACGCTGGCCGCCAGCTATTTTACATAAAATAGACGGCCGATGTTGTATCAAATTTATTTTATAAACATAAATGTAAATTTTATATTAATGCATGTAATATTATAATTTAACATTTGTAAATTTCCCTTGCCGTTTTTAAATAACAAAAATTACCCATTTTTATAATTGATAATTTCGCTGACGATAACTCTAGCGTTGGCCCGTTAAATTTTGAAACATTTCGTTCTTTTTTTGATCGATGACTGACTGACGGATATAGTTAACAAGGGGGGGGGGGTGGTGGAATACTGTAAATTGTTATAATTATAAATTTGGAAATTATGATTCGTTTCTATGGTAGTTCAAAAAACAGAAATTTTCGATTATTATAGAAATATCAAAAAAAAATTTGTAAACAAATGCCTTTCTTTATTTGGGTGTTGTACGAGATCTGCATTCGGATCAAAGTGAATAGAGAATGAGATAAATATGTAATGAATGAATAGTAGTAGTAAGTCAGAAAATTTCTCATTTTTTTTATATTACACTTTTTTGATTTTTATTACGAAAAAAAAATAATAATGTCTAAACTTGAAGTTATCGAACCGTCTGACAGTGAATTAAAAGATATCGCTCTTGCTTTACAAAAAATTTGGGCTTTAGATTATAATCGATTGAAACCTGAAATTGATGTAAAGTTTTTATATTATATATTAATATAACTGATATATTTATGCATACTTGTATATTTTATACATATTTACATATATACATACTTGTGTATGTACAGTATGTTGTTAATCTACCAATAGTTGAACGCAAAGGTATTTTTATAATTATTATTCGTCGATAATTTTTATCATTCAAATCAATCAATCAATCAATCAATCAAAATCAAATCAATCACTCACTCAATCATTCGATTTTCTCAATTAATCAAAAGGTGACAACACACCAGAAAAACTTTTTCAATTCGTCACAGATCGTGCAAAAAAAATCCCAACCTACAATCTTTTCTATCTTTTGCTTGACAATTACATTCCAGAAACTGGAATACCAGAAAAAGTCGATGTATTAGAATTAAAAGAAAACGAACAATTCATTAAAGCATGTATGCAAACTGCTCCTATGATTTATGTTTACAAGGTATATAAAATAATAAAATAATTAAAAAAAAAAAAAGAATGTATGTGTGTGTGTGATTTAATAATTGAAATTCTAAATTTTTATTAATTTTAATTTTTGTAAATGTGTTTAGTATTTGAAAGCTTTAGGTGTATTTCCAGGTGATAGGTTAAGTTTTGAAAAAAAAATTAATCATCTATGGTTTGATTTGTATACTAGAGAAGGCGGTGCAAAAGATTCTAGTGCATTTGAACATGTATTCGTTGGTGAGATTAGAAATAATGAAGCTAAAGGATTTCATAATTGGATCACCTTATATTTTTATGAAAGATCTGGTAAAATTGATTATGAAGGTTTTGTTCCTTTAAAAAACTCTAATAAACGTCTTCATAAGGTAATCAATCATAATCATAATCATAATCATAATCATAATCATAATCATGATTTAAATTCTCTTTAATATTATTATTCTAATCTAAATTTATTCAAAAAACCCTCCTCCCCCTTTTAAAAAAAAGCCAGATCCAACTTCACACTTAATCACGATTCGGTTCAATTATCAAGGAAAACATAAACCTTTTAGTTCAACTTTTGTTGGAACTTCACCTGAATTTGAGATGGCCGTCTACACGCTACTTTTTTTTCTTAAACGTGAGGACACACATGTTACTTTGGATGACACAGATATCAATTTTAAAATCTATCCCTTTTATCAAGTTGGTGGTGGTGGTGCTAGATTATTGGGCTCTGCTTTTCCAATAATTTTAAGAAACAATAATGAATAAAAAATATTATTTATTATTCATTTATTTATTTATTCATTCATTTAAAATTATTTTGAATTATATATATAATTCTAATTGTTTATATTTAATAAATAATAAAAAGGAACTTGTTGATTTTATATTATAAAAATGAATAACAAATTTACAAAATCTTTCACTAATCTACCTATATGCTTCAAATTCTTGTACCTTTTCATCATCAACTTTACTTAATATTTACAATCTTGAAAATAAAATTTGGACCCAATATTCTTGACATCCGGTATTTTTTTTAAAAAAAAATTCACATATTCATTTGTTTGTTTAACATTATATATAGCATTCGTCTTAAACTTTTAAAGAAAATTATCACAACTTCCCATCAAGAATTATTTCAAAGTCATACATAGCAAGGCAAATTATTTTCTTCTTTATATATATATATATATATATATACGCAAGTCTTGTTTTTGATCAATCCAATCAGAAATTAGAAATCATTGTTTTGGTCCTTTTGGTGATAAATGACAACCAAAACTATTACTTTAAAGATTGCATTATAAAAGTTTTTCGTATATCCCTTTAGCAAAAACTTTTTTATAAGGTTTAATTCTTCATAAAAATCTATAGGAGTGATCTAATTGGATTGGATAGTATGGTACATATCTTTCATCCACTCTGAAAATATTTTCACCCAAGCTTTTTCAAACTAATTTCTCTTTTTCAATACAGATATAAACATCGATTTTTTAAATAGATATGAAATCATCAGATTTCAATTCTCATTTATCATACGGTTTTGCAAAATCTTCTCTGTTAATTCATTAAAATATAGTTCATCGCATGCTCCAAGAAGTTCAAAGATTTCATTTGGATTCATTATAAATATATTTTTAGATATATTGTTATTTTGAGAAAATCATAATCAATCGATTAATTAATAACTTTGAATATATTTGGAAAAATATTTTATTTTTCAAATTGAAAAATACCATTGTCAGATTTTTTTGTTCAACTATCTGATAAGATGGGAATTTAACATCCTCATTTTCTTTCTAAATCATAAAAATTTGATTTGTCTAACAAGTTTGTTAAATCATTCACTAATAGTCGTGTGACATTTCCCTGCAGGCTGCTTTTCTATATGTGAAAATAAATTCGAAATTCGTGTCACATGAAGTTTTTTTTAAAATATCTCGTGATTTTTATAATAAACTCGAATTTTGTTGTTAGACTAAAATGAAAGTACTCCATTAAAGCTTTCTAATGAATACTTTTTCATATCAAAAGGCCTTCTCTACATGAATTCACGGCTATTCAAAAACAGTATTACTTTTTAACTTCAAACCTCAAATTATTTCTCAATATTGCTTTAAAAGACTTGATAGTAAATGAGAAGGTGTAAAATACTTTAAGCTTTCATATGGTCATTACTTTATGGGGGTATTGGTTAATAAGTTTTAGAGAGGTTCACGAAAAACTATTTTATAGAAATTTTAATAGTCATGAAGAATTTATGTAGATGGGATTCAGCAAAAACTAAAAGGTATTTTATTAGTGATTGTTTTATATTTCTGACTTTATATTGATTAAAGTTTCATTAATGATTATTATGAATATCCATCAATCAGTAGTTGTTATAGCAACATTAAACAATAATATGCCAATGACAACAACGAATCATCTTTTTTGAGGATGATAATAAAGATTAAGATCCAGTTTGTATAGGAGTGATCGAAGTAAGCATTAAGGACAAGATTTATGAACAAAACATACTAACGAACATTTCATCAATTATTCAATAGTTTGTATAGGAGTGATCAAAGTGAGCATTAAGGACAAGATCTATGAACAAAACATACTAATGAACGTTTTATCAATTATTCAATGGTTTGTATAAGAGTGATTGAAGTAAGCATTAAGGAGAAGATCTATGAACAAAATATACTAACAAACATTTTATCAATCATTCAATAGTTTGTGTAGAAGTGATTGAAGTAAACATTAAGACAAGATCTATGAACAAAATACACTAACAAATGTTTTATCAATTATTCAATAGTTTGTATAGAGTGATCAAAGTTAGCATTAAGGCAAGATCTATTGTGGTGTTTGATGGCGGTTGATCATCAAACATATGTTACATCAATATAACAAATTATTATGTGCGGATTTTTTTAGTATCTTTATCATATATTTCAATATATTGTAAATGTTGACAACAAAATTCAACTAACAATATATTTTTTTGAAAACATGAATTATAAAAAAAAATTTCTATTAATTTATCAGTTGCAATGTAAATTTTTATGGTAAAATTTAATAATAAATTGAATAATTTTAAACCATGATAACTTTTTTTTTTATAATAAAATTAAACAAAACTTTTTATAATTTTATTGTTTAAGTCTTCTATAATAAAGTTACAGAGAGCTTTTTTTCCTATCTCATTTGGTTATAAA